CTTAGGTTGGGAGTGCTTTGGGAAAAGAGGCGGAGTCCACAGCTGCCGCGCTGGCAAGTCTTCCTGGAGAAAGGAGGGTGTGGCTGCACAAGATTCAGAGTTTAGAGCAGTGGTTCTCAACCTTCCTAATGCCACGACCCTTTAATACAGTTCCTCATGTTGTGATGACCCCCAACCATAAAATTATTTTCGTTGCTACTTCATAACTATTTTGCTACTGTTAGGAATCCTCATGTAAATATCTGATATGCAGAATGTATTTTCATTGTTACAAATTGAACATGATTACAGCATAGTGATTCATCACAAAAGCAATAGGCAATTATATATTGTGAAATATCTATTTCTAATTACAAATAAATGAAATTTTGTCTTGAAGCATGGTGTAGCATGGGTAACAATCTTCATGCTGGGTACTCATAGTTGGGTGTATCTGCATGTGGGTGGACCCGCTTGGAGACGGATAGAGGAGAGGTGTCTCAGTTTCTAAGACTATTGAAAATATGTGTTTGCCGGTGATCTTAGGCGACTCCTGTGAAGGGGTCGCAACCCACAGGTTGAGAACCACTGCTTTAGCGGGTTCTCAATTCCTGTGTATGTGAACAGAGTCGAGATGGGGAGGAGGAGGAGGAGGTAAAGTACTTGGGTTTGGAACCCCAAGAAAGTGAGGAGCAGTTTCCAGACATAATAGTAAAGAGGACTTGCAGTGGTTGCTCTTCTTGATGTAGCCCTTCTCTTCTTCAGGCTTAGCTCTTGCCAGGCAACTTCAGATATGTCTGACACAAACAAGAGTGGTTCTGGTCTAACTCACTTCCAGGTAAGCCCTCAGTCTGTCCTCTTCCCAACTTCTTTTCTTTTGTAGTCCCTCTTGCTGTCCCAGATCCCTTGGCCCCTCCCATCCCATCTTTGTCCTTCTCCACCCACTTTCCTGGCCTGCCGGCCTGCTTCCCCACTCCCCTTCTACCGGTGTAGCCAGTGGCCCACCCATCTTTAGCCGTCACTTCCTGTCCAGAGGAGGCTTTAATGAGCTGAGGTGATCTGAAAGCATTGCTGATGTGTTAGTACAAGTTAGAGAAGTGTGACTCTGGAATTTTGGAGCCATTTGACTTGTTCAGGGTGATGAGAAGGCCTCCCTCCTTCCTCCTCTTGCAGGCTGGAGCTCCAGAAGAAGATGGTAGCTTGGTGATGCAGACTCTACTGGCAGTGACCCAGAACTTGGAGGTCTCAGAGGCACCCAAGACCGTAAATGCACCAGAAGTCTTAGGAGGTCTGAAGGTTTCAAGCATTCCAGGGGTTTCAAAGGCCTCAGAGTTCTCCAAAGAAACACTGATCCCAAAGGCCAAAAGGGTCTCAAAGGCCCAAAAGGCTCCTGAGGCATTTGCCACCCAGGCATCACCCACCACTCAGCAAACTGATATCCAGGTCCTGACAGCTGAAAACAACAGTCCAGCAACTGACATCAAGATGCAAAATGCTGATCCGCAGGCTGTGCCAGTGCATGCTACTGAGACCAAAAAAGTGGGTTCTGTGCCTGATACCCAGGTCAATACAAAGGCCCTGGAGACTGAAGCTTCTGTTTCTCAGATTCCTACAGATGAACCTGGGCCTGAGGGTGCAGCTGCTGAGACACAGGAGAATCAGGATGTTCGACCAAAAGTCAAGGCCAAGAAGGCTCTAAAGGTAAGAGTGCTGCAATTACTACCACTGCCTTACCACTTCTGACCTCTCAGTTGGTTAATTTATTCTATAAAAAGTTATCAATTTCCTTGTGCTCATCAAAGTTTTAAAGAATACTGAATGTGATGTGTTTTCTATCTTCAGAGAATATGCAAAGCTGTGGTTTATATAATTCAGTTTATATTTACCTAGAACCAATTATGTGTTAGGCTTTGAGCTAGATATACCACATAGACTTTCTCACTTAATCTTGAAAGTAATTCTTGCCATCTGGGGATCATAATCTCAGTTTTAAAGAGAAGGAATCTGACTCCCAGTGAGGTGAAGTCATTTTCCAGGGAGGTAACACACAGAGCTAGTGGTTGTCACAGGAAGAGAAGCCCCAGACACCCCTTTCCTTTCCCACCACCACCACTAGTGGTGTTTCTGGCCTGATAGAACGATGAAATCCTGCCCAGGATTTAGGGCAACTAATGGCTAGTGAGTTAGACTATCACTATAGGGGTGGGATTAAAGGACCGTTGGTTCCTGGAGGAGATTCAGTGAGGAAAATAGACCTTCACCTTCACTTAGTGATGTTGAATCTCTTTGTTGGTGTAGGTGAAACACTTGAGTGGGGAAGAAGATGGCAGCAGTGATCAAAATCAAGCTTCTGGAACTACAGGTGGCCGAAGGGTCTCAAAGGCCCTAATGGCCTCAATGGCCCGAAGAGCCTCAAGGGGCCCCATAGCCTTTTGGGCCCGTAGGGCATCAAGAACTCGGTTGGCTGCTTGGGCTCGAAGAGCCTTGCTCTCCCTGAGGTCACCTAAGGCACGTAGGGGCAAGGCTCACCGTAGAGCTGCCAAACTCCAATCATTTCAAGAACCGGAAGCACCACTGCCTCGGGATGTGGCCCTTATGCAAGGGAGGGTAAGAATTATGCCCTCTTTTCTCTACCTTTTTCACTCTTACCTACCTCTTCTTTGCTATCCTCATAAATATCCTGTCAATATATATATTCATCTTTCTATTTTTCTACCTTTTGCCCCAGGCAAATGATTTGGTGAAATACCTTCTGGCTAAAGACCAAACAAAGATCCCTATCAAGCGCTCAGGTAGAGTCCTACTAATCCCTCCCCCACGCTGTATTCTCCTTTGCCCTCTCTTCCATGTGCAAGGGATAATCTTTGTTCTTATGTTCTAATGCTATCTTCCCAAAGTTCTAATTTGTCAGTGCTAGCATCTCTATATTTATTATTTCAGAACTCTGGCTTTGCCAGCCATAATAGGGTTGGGAAAGGGGTCTATAGCTTGGGCATGGGGGCCTCTTGGCTTGGCTTTTCTTTAGCCCAGGTGCTGATAACACTCTCCCCTTGCAGACATGCTGAAGGACATCATCAAAGAATACACCGATGTGTACCCTGAAATCATTGAACGAGCAGGATATTCCTTGGAGAAGGTGAAGGGGCAGCCATGGGAAATGGGCACAGTGGGAAATCCTTGAATTAACAAAGGTAGAGGTGTTCCTTCTGGGAGAGACTACAGAGACAGATCCAGCTCATTTGCTGTGCAGATGGGCATACTGGCTTTTGGAGGGGTATAGGTGAACCATGGGTCACACAGCAAGTTAGTGGTAAAAGCACACCTATGACCCAAAACACTCAACTAGTCCTGGCTTCTGTCCACTGCTGGATATGTCTTGTAATACATGAGTGGGCTTCAAAAAGTTTGTACATCTATTATATGTTTACTGTGTTCCACTTAACCTAGTGCTTTATATGTATCATCTCACTGATTTCTCTCTCTGTCTCTCTCACTCTCTCACTCTGTCTCTCTCTCTCTCTCTCTCTCTCACACACACACACACACACACACACACACATGGTTTTGAGGAAGCTTTGAGATACCCAGGAAGCTGACTTACATGATATCACAAACTACCCTCCCCATCCACAGGTATTTGGAATCCAGTTGAAGGAAATTGATAAGAGTGACCACTTGTACATTCTTCTCAGCACTCTAGAACCCACTGATGCAGGCATACTGGGAACGTAAGCTAAAAGGGGTAGGGTGGGAGGGGGAATTTTTTACAAGGTACTAGCCCTTTCCTGTCTTCTCTTACATCATCCTTTTAGAGTCAGGAAAGGCAGCTTAAAAAAACCCTGGTCCGACTCCTGCACCTGTGGTTGTAGTGCTACACACAGTAGTGGTGCCTGATTGTGATTACTTAAAGGGTATATAGAGGCCTGGGGTGGGGAATTCCTGCAGTCAGATTTTTTCTTTCCCCAGGAGCTTCCCAGGAAAGCAGGATTATCATTGCTCGTCTCTTTCTGCTGTTTCCTGACCTAGCTGTGTAGGGTGGTTTTCAAAGGAGGGCACGTAGATTATGGTGCTAGAAGGGCAAGAGAGCCATCAATGGACTGTGCCCAGAGTTCTGACAGGCTGAGGGACATGGGAGAAAAAGAGGCAGCCAAGAGTTCTCACAGGCCGAGGGATATGGGAGAAAAAAGACACAGTACCTGTGTTGTACCGGGCAGATAGGCTTTCTTCTATCTTGCCAAGCTGAGGAGGGGAGGATATGATTTTTATCATTTTAAATGAGCCTAAGTGCCTTCCCCTTAGAACCTGGAGCATAGACTGAGCAGAGAATTATCCAATACCAGAGGAATCTGGGACAGCCTAGCCTAGTAAATGACTGATAAATCTTTTGCAAATGACTGCTAGACATACATTTTTTCTCTTTCCTATTACTGCCTTAGGACCAAGGACTCACCCAAACTGGGTCTCCTTATGGTGCTTCTTAGCATCATATTCATGAATGGAAATCGGTCCAGTGAGGGTGAGTGAATGGACCTTTAGCTGAATGGTTGGTTATGATCTGAGTTCCATGTGTTTATTTTCTGTCTTTGTCTCCTCTTGCCTCCCTTGCAGCTGTCATCTGGGAGGTGCTGCGCAAGTTAGGGCTACGCCCTGGGTATGATTGAGCTTGCTGTCTGTGTTGTCCTTTGGAAAGAGAGGATGGTCCCAGGATTGTATCAGCATGGTGGTCTGGTGGAGTGGGTGGGGGTGGCTCTGGATTGGGTAGAAGGTATAGGGTTCTGACATGGGTGGTGGATGTGAAATGGTCATAAACTCTGTCCCTCTCTCACTATCTCTTAGGCTTCTGTGGAAATTCCTGTGCTAGAAACCTCTTTTCCATGTTGAAACTGCCTCTACTCACATCTGGGCAGTGCCCTGATTATGTGTGTCCCTGTGTTCTTTCTTTCTCTGATATCAGGATCCATCACTCTCTCTTTGGGGATGTGAAGAAGCTCATTACTGATGAATTTGTGAAACAAAAGTAAGTGACTTTTTTATTTTATTGGTGCCATCCATATATGTGTCATATTTCAGAACTGAGTGTTAAAGCCATGGTTTGTGTGTGTGTGTGTGTGTATATATACATGGGTAGTAGTTTAATGGGGCTATGACTTAATACATGCACTCTCACAATGAATCTTTAAGAACAATTCTACAAGAAGAGATTATCATCACCAGTAATATGTATGTGGGGAAGTTCAGGCTCAGGTGAACTCATTTGCTCAGGGTTGCAGGTAGTAAATGGAAGAGTTATGTTTACAACCTAGCCTCAAAGCTTTGCTTCTTTTTATGATGCCAGCCAAGGCATTGAAGACATGCCATAAAGAAATATCATAGAATAATAGCTTTAGGCTATTCAGGTGTAATGCTAAAATTGATTTCTATCTCTCATTTTATTTTCATGACAGCCCTAAAATGTGCTGGTAACCCATCCTTATTTTATATCTAAGGAGCGTGGATCTCAGAGGGGAAAGTACCTCGGCATGGCCCATAGCTAGTGATGGAACCCTCTAGGCTTGGATGCCAGCTCTCCTGGTTTGGGGGCCAGGGTCTGCTCCATCTTTGGTCCTTGTGCAATGTATGTGTATTCCCCTAGGAATCTGTACAACAGGAAAACAATGCAGAATACCCATGGAATACATGGCTTTTGCTTTACTGTGTCTTCCCTTTATGTTGGTTTCTATGGTGGACCTTTCTAGGGCTTGGCCAAGCCAAGGATGAGACCCTTGCAGTGGGGGTGTGCTGAAAATTGGGGACTTAAAGAATGGTTCTTTTGTGTATAACACACCCAACAGGAATCTCAATTCATTGTGATAGGGAGCACACAACTTGTAGCCTCCTTAAGAATAAATGCCCTACGTATATCTCCATTGCAACTCCAAGTGGCTTTTGGGTAAGGATAACAGTAAGAAATTCAGTATTGGAGGGAACACTGCAATATTTAGTTGGGGAAGTTGCCACCTAGAACCTGTCCAGTCATGCTTTTGTGAGCCATGAGAGATCTTAACAATAAAGGTTTTGAACCTCTCTTTTCAAGGTACCTGGATTATGCGAGAGTCCCCAATAGTAATCCCCCTGAATATGAGTTCTTTTGGGGCCTGCGTTCCTATTATGAGACCAGCAAGATGAAAGTCCTCAAGTTTGCATGCAAGGTAATTCAAAAGCTGCCTGAACTTGACACATAAAGTGTGTCCCTCCCAGGGACAGGATATGTTCAGATGACCTGCATTTTGTGTATAAACATTAAGAAGCCATTGTTAATGTGTCAAACACTGTACCAGATACTTTATCTGAATAATTTAATCTTTACGCCCTTAGATTTCCCATTATTGCAAATAATGAGACCCAGAGTAGTTTTTACATGACATGTTCAAAATCTCAGAACTAGTAAGTATCAGAGCAGGAGTTCAATATTAAGTGCATAATTACTAGTAATGCTTATTCAATTTTATTATATATCACATGTAGTAAAATGCTTATCACATAGTAAGTGCTCAGTATACTGAGTACAAACCTTCTAATGGTTATTATATATTCATTTCAGGTACAAAAGAAGGATCCCAAGGAATGGGCAGCTCAGTACCGAGAGGCTATGGAAGCAGATTTGAAGGCTGCAGCTGAGGCTGCCACTGAAGCCAAGGCCAGGGCTGAGATTAGAGCTCAAATGGGTATTGGGCTTGGCTCTGAGAATGCTGCTGGATCCTGCAACTGGGATGAAGCAGATATTGGACCCTGGGCTAAAGCCCGGATCCAGGCAGGAGCTGAAGCTAAAACAAAAACCCAAGAGAGTGGTGGTACCAGTGCTGGCGCCAGCACAACTGGCTTCAGTGCCAGTGCAAGCCTGACCTCCACCCTCACATTTAACCTTTTCTCTGGACTTAGTGGAGCTGGCACCAACAACAGCTCTGGTGCCTGTAGTTTCTCCTACAAATGAGATTTCAGGTATCTACCTTATCTTACATATGAGAAACCAGGGAGGGGGTAAGGAATTGGGTTGTTACAGTATGGCCAGGGTTGGGGGATGAGAAAAGATGTGGAATATTATATCTATTTTTGTTTGGTGGATATAATTGACTTTTTAATTTTCTTTTACTTGTGTTTTCAGATATTGCTAATCCCAGCATTCTTACTCTTCAAGCCAGGGTGTGTTCTCAGAAACATTACTCAGCAAAGCACTCTAGGCAGTCACTATCAATTGAAGCTGACATTCTTCATTAAATCTATTTGCTGTTTCTGAGTTTATTGCATTTTTTGATGGACTGTCACATTTTGATACCAGTTTTAAAATAACTTGATAATACTTTTTACCTTAATCTGTGCTTTGTTGGATACTGTTGGATTCTCAGGAGTGAGGTTAACTTGACTATCTATGGTATAGAGGGCCTAAGCTCTAGCCTACAGAGCAGGTAGGATTTCAGTAGGGTGGACTCATAGAGACATGTAGGTACTTTGTAAAAAGCCCATAAATAGGCAAGTTAGGAATAGAGAGCAGAGAAAATAAAGCCTTAAATTAAAAATTTGACTGTTCTTTGAAAAGTGTGGCTAAATACAGGAAGGAGAATAGTAGGTAGCTAAAGGAATAAGGGAAGGTTTTCTTGGAAAAGGAGAGAGACTTGACTAGGGCAGGAGTCAATAGAGTGAGAAGTTGGTTGACTCATGCCACCCAGTCTCTTGAGAAAGTGCCAGTAAGTGGGTTGCCGGGAACATGAGAGAAGGTACTCTCTGGAAAGTACTCAGAAAATAGAAGAATGGCTGGCCATGGGGAGGCACAATAGAGAGGATGGAGTTCATGATTTTAAAAATAGTTTTATTGAGCTTTCAGTAAAGGTTTGCACAGCAATTTAGGTTCCTATTCAAAATTTTGTATACGAGGTCGGTGCCATTGGTTTCCCACACTTTTTTCTCTGTGGTAGGGCACTCAAAATTCTTACTATAAGGATCAAGAACATGAATGTTAAATAGAGGGGGGTTGGCTGGTAAGGCTGATGATAGTATGGTAAATTTAAGACAGTGAAGAGGATGGCAAGTGATGATCACGTCCAAGCTCAAGGTTGTGTGTGGCTGAGGAGAAAAAAAAAAGATAGTTCCTGCAGATGAGGGGTTGATGGCCTAAGACGTGTGGGTGTTAATTGGGTTATCCACATGAATTGAAGTTAGTTGGATGGTGGTAGGAGTCAGGTGAGAGCAGGCATTAAAACATAAAGCAGGCATTAAAATCCTCTTTTTGTGGTTGAAGATCATATCTTTATAGCTGTACTGCTCTCTAAGAGATAGGGCCTTCAAGTAGAGACCCACTCCCTATTTTTGAAGGATTGCCCTTCTAGGAATTCTACTCCATCTTTCACCCCCACTGTTCTGGGCCTAATTACTATAGAATAATTGAGGTTCTTGTAATAGGCACCTATCCCTTTCTGAAGACTCTATAGTAAAAGAAAATTTATTGCTTAGGAAATAAGATTTTTTTTTTAATTTTTTTTTTTTAACATTTTATTAGGGGCTCATACAACTGTTATCCCAATCCATACACACATCAATTGTGTAAAGCGCATTTGTACATCGTTTCTCAAAACATTTTCTCTCCATTTAAACCCCCGACATTAGGTCCTCATTTTTCCCCTCCCTCCCCGCTCCCCCCTCCCGCATGAGCCCTTGATAGTTTATAAATGGGTATTTTGTCATATCTTGCCCTGTCCGACGTCTCCCTTCATCCACTTTTCGGTTGTCTGTCCCCCAGGGAGGAGGTCACACACAGTTCCATGTAATCGGTTCCCTCTTTCCTACCCATTCTCCCTTTTTAAAATAGAGAATCATCCACACCCAGCCAACTCCTTATCTATGGCCATGAACTGAGACTTGCTTTTGGTCACTGAGGTGTTCTTTATGGAAGAAGAGGCTTCTTGAAGAATATGTTGTAGTCTCCTGAGGAAAGTTAAGATAGCTTTGGCCTTCTAGGAAGGACTCTAGAGGATGGGTACCATACATATAAATAAATGTGACACCCTCCCCCAAAGGAGATACACTTAAAAGTAGATAGGATAGCTGATGGGTGATGAGGAAATCAGGGACTAGGAGTCTTAAAAAAAAACTACTTCAAAGTGCTTGATAAAGGTGAGAGTGAACCATCTTTACACACTACCTTTCCCAATTCTCTTCCTTCCCAAGGCTATCAAGCTTGTAGGGCTGTCCCCCCCTTTTCTCCCTTCCATGAGGCATAGAATTTGATAAGACAAGGGTTATCTGTTCTGCACACCCCAGATAAAAAGATAAAGTAGGTGGGGCAAGGAGAAACAGCAAGTCTTGTCCCAGGTCACTTTTGTATAGGGAGTAGTGGGGAGGGACTGGCAGGAGAAAAGGTAAACTCTGCTTCATGTTTCTGCCACCTTATCAGCTTAGAGGCCTGAAATGAACCAAAAAATTTCAGTCTTTAAGTGGCTTATTAAATTACAAATCCAGATGGTAGCATGTATCTACCCCTTGGCAGGCCCGGTAAAACAATTTCTCCACATGTTTTTCATTATTACCCCTTAAGTAGCCTTTTTAAAATAGTATTAATCTTAATAGCTCCCCATGAAATCTTAATTTTACAGATATGCTGTATATAATAACGACATTTCAAAAATTAGATTTTGGAAAACAATATTTTAACTTTATAGCTATTTGCTAATATTTATAGTGTAATGGATCAAATTATAGATGGCAATTAGCAATTTATATAACTGATAAAACTCAATGCCATAGAGTTCATAGCAACCCTATACGACAGGGTAGAACTAGCTCTGAGCTTTCTGGGACTGTAACTCTATGGGACTAGGAAGACCCATCTTTCGTGGAAAAACTGCTGACCTTGTGGTTAGCAGCTCAATGCATAACCTATCATACCACTAGGGCTTCTAAGTCTACACTTACTAGGGGCTCTTGAGTAAATTCTGAGTCATGACAACTGAACAAAACACTGTAGAAGTCTGCACAATCCTCACAATTGTCTTTATGCTTGAGCCCATTATTGCATCCACTGGGTCAAATCCATCTTGTTGAGGGCTTTCTTTTTTGGTGTCTTTTCCCTCACCTCCCCCGCCAGCAAGCAGGGAGTGGTCTCCCCTGACATGTCCAAGGTACGTGAAATGAAAACTCATTACCTTTGCCTCCAAAGAGCATTCTGGCTGTACACTTTTCAAGATAGATTTGTTTGTTCTTTTTTTTTTACATCAATTTATTGGGGCTTATACAATTCATCACAATACATAGATTAATTGTGTAAAGCACATCTATACATTTCTTGCCCTCATTATTCCCAAAATTTGCTTTCCTCTTGGGTTCCTGGAATCAGCTTATTTTCCTTTTTGCCCTCCCCCATGAACCCTTGATAATTTATAAATTATTATTATATATTATATTACACTGCCCGGCGTCTCCTTTCACCCACCCCTCTGCTGCCCGTCCACCAGATAGGAGGTTATATGTAGCTCCCTGTGCTCAATTCCCCCTTTCTACACCCCCCTTCTCTCCTGGTATTGCCACTGTCACCTCTGGTCCTGAGGGGTTCATCTGTCCTAGATTCCTTGC